TCTGCCATCAACATAGGATGGCAGCTGCCATATTCCTCACCGGGTTAGAAGGGGGATGTAATGCTTGTGGGACAAGGAAGAGCAAGGAGTGACTCTCAAAGGACTCATCCCCTCCTCAGACCACCAGCTCATGCATGGGTGCTCACAGTCTAGAGGAGATTTCACCAACACAGGGACTAAGGCATTTATAGCAAGGTTAGCAAAACCATCACAAGAAAGGAGATCTCAAAGACTAGGAGATTAAGTGATTTTCTGCTTATCATAATAAAACCCTCTGAGTATGTAGAATAATGCTTAGATTTATAATACACAATGGGTCCTCACTAGTGTGGTAAGTATTGACTCAAATGGTCTGCAAGTATTGGGATAAGACAAGAAGAAACACTTGGGATATCCTTTTAATGCTCCCTCTTTGCAGATAAAGAGCCTTCTCTGCCTCTTCCCTGTCTTAAACCTACAAGAAAAGTGTTCCCCCCCCCCTCTTTTTTTTTTTTTTTTTTTTTTTACAGTATTGAACCTCTTCATCATTTAAAGGAATGCAAGGCAGCTGAGTGAATCGTTTCCTCATCAATACAGTCCAGCACGTGAGAGCTTCCCCTACCTCAGTTGACAGAGAGAGCTGGAAACAGATAGGAAGGAAAGTGTATTCAAGAGAGCAGGTGAGGACTTTTCTCTCCAGTCAGCAATGCCTAAACATTATCCAGCCACATCACAGCCACCACACACTGTTACACACACACTACAACATCACTCTTCGCACACACACACTCTCCTGCTTCTCCTCTCCCTGTTCTCCCCATCCATTACGCATTATCAGCACAGAAACACTTGGTTACACGCTCCCATCCATACCGATCGCACAAACCTTGTGCATTAACAAACTCATCCTTTTTCACACCCGCATTACCCGCTAACGTTATAAAGCATGAGAGTTTACAGATAACATTTGTATCGCGTACCAACCTAAGGCATCCTACTCCGCTTACCCAAATGCTTCTGTGATTTCTCTCAGACTCATTCCCCATTTATGAATACCCTTGAGCAGCTAAAAAAAATACATCATAAATAAACGCTGCCAGTACTACGCAGACCAATTCTGCATGTCCTTTCTGAAAGCATCTACTTCAATGAATTGGCTGCATAGGTATTTTAATGATTAAGCAAACTAAACAAACAGTCTCATGCAATTAAACGATGAAGTGGGGTTATAAGGAAGGCTTGTTAAAAAAAAGCTTTTTTAAAAAGTAAATTGCAGATTTGAAACAGCTGTTATTTTTTCAAGGGAAAGTTTGTTTAAAAGGATTTTCAATGTAAAGCAATGCTGAAGAAAATGTATAATTTGTCAGGGCATTCATTTTTTTTAAATAAAAAAAAACTCAGTGGGGAATTCAGAATAACTTTTCATATTGGCAGCTAAGCTAATTTAGAGTAATAAGAGGTAAAAATGAAATCACCAATCAAATATTCTTCCAAGTGATCAAAAATACAATTTTTGATAGATTCAGATCATTCTCTTCTCCTCCCCACCCTTGCAAATACATATATATATATTACTTTTTTTCAGGAGGGCGGTGGTGTTGAAAAATCAGCTTTTGATTTCAATTCAGGAGCCTGATCCTTGTCAGAAGCTATGAGGCACACCAAGACAAATCCATTCAGGGAAAAGCTACATTATGCCACTAGAAATCCCACCCACCCACCAGCATCCCTGGGGTGCACAGGTACTTTTAGTCCTCCAGCCCCCCCTGGGGCAGCAAGGCCAGTGCACCACGCAGGAGGAACACCCAGCCCGCCTCCAAGCCACCTGCCTCAACCACGACTTGAGGTGCAGCAGCAGGGAAACGCACGAAGCCTGAAGCAAATAATTAAAGAAAAATAATGATCAGAACAAAATAAGATGTGCTGCGCAGGAAATCAGAGCCTCTAGCCTACGGGGGAAGGGGGAAAAGCCTGATTCTGTGCCAAAGTCCCCGTGCCCAGGCAGAAAAGGGACAGGTGACCCATTGCACGTCCCCTGGCAGAAGTGCTGGAGGCTGCCTGCCTCGGTCGCTTGGCACTGCAGAGCCCGTGGGTCTCCTGCCAGCCTCCGCTGTGCTGCCTCCACCCCCCATCGCTTGCTATTCAGCCTCAGCCTGGCAGCACCAGCCTCATCCCTCTTCACCCCCTCTGTGTGGTGGCTTTGAGAGAGCAGCAGACGACCAGGAGCTCCTTCTGCATTCCCTGGTACACCCCCAAGTGGACAGCGAGGAGAAGGGGGGAGAGGAGGCACATGCAAGTTTTGGGGAGCTCGCAGGCTCGGCTGCCTGGCTCCGGAGGGACACAACTGGAAGCGGTCCGATGGGGGTCACCGCCTGTCACAACTACTACTGCAGTTTTCTGGGGTTACAGAAAGGTTCAAGGCTCGTTACCACAGTTTTCAGTGAACAACAATTAATTTGAAGTAAGTGCATCCCACCCCTCCCTTTTTTATTTAAAGAGAGAAAAGCACGACAACAACCAAAGGGGAAAAAACAGAACCACACGCACAGAAGGGGCACGATACTTTCCCACTCCCTTTTAACTCCTTCAAACGTCTTTGGGCTTGCTCACGATGTGCTTTGCTCCTCCCGTGAAGCCCCGATATTCTGGCTTCCCCACACCCTCTCCCCCCCCCCAACATGTGAGGAAGGGAAGTTACTGCTGGCTACGAAACCAGACCCAGCAGTGGACCAGGGCTGGGTTATGCCACATCTGAAGTTTGGGAGCAGTACAAAAAGCAGCTCCAGGTTTACAACTCCCCCCTTCCCATTTCAATGCCCAGGGAGGGCAACTGCCTTGCCTCTGCCTTCCCAGAGGGTACCTGTTAAAGCAGCCCTCTGAGGACCTCCCCGATGCCTTCAAAAATCAGAATAGATGCGGCTGATACATCTGTGGCAACAGCAACTCACTAGAACAGAAGGTAAGGGTAATACAGCACCCAGGCCTTTCATAAGCTGCAGATATTAGGAAGGATTAAAGCAGCTCCTGGTTGTGCTAGAATCAGGATGCTCTAGTCACAGCTTGGGGAAGGCTTCTGAGTTGGAAACACCCTGTGGAGCAAGCACCATCGATGGCAGACCAGGAAACAAGCATCAAAAACGGGGCGACGTTCAGAGTCAACGCTACTTGCCCATCTTCCTTGAGAGGTCTGCGCCTGTTCTTCCAGAGCAGAGGGAAGTTCACATCGAGCTACTCAACTTCACTGCTGACACTAGCTATTTACGTTACACAAGTACCTGTCTCCTCTCCCCCCCGTGTGCTGGAGAAATCCTCCTCCCCTGTCAGAAGCAGCCCCTTCACAGGGGAAGTCAGCTGGAAGGTGCTGGTGCCAGATTCACCATCCAGATTCCGAGAATGCAAGTTTGAGAGGAAATAGGCAACAGCGAAGAAGCATGTGCATGCAACACAGAGACAGATGAAGGGAAATCGCGTGAAAAGGAGCGCTCAGGAAATGTGAGAAAGAGGGAGAAAATGAGGGATTTTGCAGCGAGCGCACGCAGTAGTGACAGGTAAATGCGAGGCTGCAACAGAAAGCATGTGTGTGTGTGACAGGGAGCATGCCTGTGCAGGGATTTGCTTAGTGGACACAAAATAGGAGAGGACAGTGCGTGTGAAACTGTGTGTAGAAGTAGCAGCAAAAGGGCAGTGCAGATGCTCTGGCTGGAAACATCTCCATGCACTACAGCATGCACAAATGTGAAAGGTAAGGACAGTCACAGTGAGAGACCCCTAAGTGTGTGCAAGATGCTGTGAATGCAGGACTGTGCAAGACAGGAGGCCAGATAGGTGAATATACACATAAAAAACATACATGTGCCACGTATGTGTACATGCATGTGCACTTGCAAGACCAATGCAGCATGATAGGCACGGGGTTTTGTGGTGCAAGCAACCACCAAAGCCAGTGTGCAGGATGGAAAGAGGGCACAAGAAAAGGCTAAAGGGAGGGAGGGAAGGAGGGAGAGGAAGAGCGAACGTGAGCGAGAGAGAAGCAGACTGGCACTCCAGGAACTGCATGTGCTAGGGAGCTAGAGCTGTATGTGCCAGCGCGAGTTTATTTATCTTCCATGCTATATTCACGAGCATGTATGTACATATATAGGACCACTGCTATGTGTGAGTGAGCACGGATCATGTACAAGCTGTGATTTGCAGGGCTAGGATTATATGTGCATGTGTGATGTGTATTTATACATACAGCACGGGATGCATTAACCCTTAACTCCTGTTTACAGAAAGCATCTCAAAAACAGCTAGCATGTCTGTCATCACTTCAAACTAAATTCTGTACTCACACTTGGCTCTTAAAGCAAGAAACCCAGCTGGCAGTTCTCCACTGAACAAAACCCCATACCCAACAAATTTCCTTCTCCTGTCTTTTCCTCCTTCATTTTTTTTTTCTTCCCCCGTTGTGGAGGGGAAGGACATAGTGTTTTTGCAAAGAGGCACAGAGGCTCCTCCAACCTTCCCCAGCGAAACCAAAATAAAACAGAACAAAACAGAAATAAAAAAGAAAAAAAAATAAACCAAAAACTTAACACTGATCTCCTCAGGAAGGTGAGGAATCCAGGAACATCAGTACTTGTGACCCAAAGTGCTGAGTAGCTGTAGGTGGAGGTGAAGGGGTGCCCACATTCACCCACCCCTCTTTCCTCTGCAAATCTTCCTGTACCCCCCCCCCCCCAAATAAATAAATAAATAAAATAAAAATCTCCCCCTCTGCAAAAGCACAAATACAGCAGCAAAGTCAGTCACATGCAGTGCCCTCTAACCATAGGATTCACCAACAGCGATCTCTCCTTGGCTTATTTCCTGAGGGGGGGAAGGTTTGAGGGGGGAGGTGGGGGTGGGGGGGGTGTCAGAGATAGAGGGATCTAAATAGCTCCAGCTTCCAGCTCCATGTTTCCATCCATCCTCAGTCCGTCAGCCTCAATTCACGAGAAGGGGGCTGAGGAGGTGGCACGAAAGAACTCATCACATACCTTGCAAGGAGAAGAGGGACAAGAAGAATCCCAGCACCCAGATACTGTGCAGCCAGTAGGTCCTCATGCTTCTCTCTCACTCGTTCTGCTTCCTCTGCCTTTTTCTCCGTCTCTTCGCTTCTCTCTGCTCTCTCAATTTCTTCTTTTTTTTTTTTTTCCTCCTCTTCCCCTCTCAGATAAAATGGGATTTGTGTCTCCCTTCAGTCCCCCTGGGCTCTGCTCTACCAGCTCTGACAATCCAGTCGCAGAGAAAGCTGACCCGCGGTGGCCAGATTCCCAAATAGCCTCGCACTCTCCCCTTCAAGTGCTGGAAGAAGGGGGGCCAGGTTAGCTGCTCGCCGTAGCCTGCGCTGGCTGTAAACACAGAGAATCTCTCTGTCTCTCTCCTGCAGCTCCAACTAAATGCGACTGTACTTAAACAAGCAATGCCTTATAGGACAGTGCTCTGAGCAGAAAGGATCCCACCTCTGCCACCTAGTGTTGCAAGCCTGCTCATTTATTTTATTTTTATATATATATAAATATATACGCTGTGCTATAGAAATATGGCTCTCTCATTCCTCCGAAAACGGATCTCTTGGATCAAAAGTCTGTGAGCCATGCTGGGCTCAGGAGTCCCTAAGGCTCCAGCTGACACGGGGAAGTTATTCAGCAAAGGAGGAGCGCGTCCTTCATCGCCATGACGAGGAACGCAGCGGGGCAGGTTTGATTTCTCAGCAGAGTTCTGCCTGACAAATCCTGAAGCAAGGGTCTTTTCTGATGCTGGTGTCACTGCTGGGCAGTATGCGAGGGCCAGAGGGAGATTCAGACGCACTGATTGTAATTACAGAACTGCCAAGGCCTCCAGGAAAAATAGCAAGCATCAGGCTGCATTAATCTTCGCTGGATCTCCCGTGACTTCTGCGCGATTTCAGAGGGACCAGAAGAAATCGCTCTGTGTAGGAAATCCAGCTTGCAAAGCCACCATTTGCTCACAGAAGGTTTCTCCCGCTACTCGTCTCCTTTTAAACACAGGTTCCTCCTACCGTACACAAGATGAACTTTTTTTTTTCCCAAGGAGTAATTAGCTCCTGTAGTTTCATTGCCCCCTGAAATCATTGCTTCTGGTGAGAGGAACAGCAGTAATGAAGTACTACTTAACATTCACACAGGGCTTTTCATCAGTCACTCTCCAGGCTTTTCACAAAAGAAGGTGTCCTTTTGCAGATGGGGACACAGAGACAGCATGACTACGAAACCTTTGGGAAGTCACTATAAGGTGGTAGCCCAGGCGGGCTGGCCACACAATCTGGTGGCCCCTCCATGGACCACATTGCCCCCCTCACCACAGTTGCCATAGCAGCCTCTATAGATGCCACTGCTAGAAGATGATCTCCAATTCACGCATCACAGATGCAGCTTTGCCACCCACAGATGAGCCCCTTGAAGTGTGGAAAAGCCACTGGACGAAATATCCTTCTACACTCATGATCACCAAGAGAAGCCCAGGCCTCCTGAAGGGTCTTCAGAGGCTTGCACGAAACCTGAGGAAGTTTCAGGTAACGAAGGGCCTGCAGGTGGGGAGCAAGACAGGTTGTTGTAGACGCAATGATGTTGGGTCCTCACCAGTGACCTAGCGACAGCAACTCAAGGGAGAATACTATCAGGTGTAAAATAAGCAGTTTCATCTGCTCTGGCTAAAAATTCAGTCTGTCCTATGCCTTCTGTGATTCATCAGCAAATCTTTAAGAAATTCCACTTTGCAAATATAGCCAGAGTTGTGGCTGCAGAGAGAAAGTCTCTCTGAGATTCCCACCAGGACACCAAGGTGACCATGCATGCATAGGAAAGGCGTGCGGGGGATTCTTGCTACTAAAGATGAAATGCCACTCCAGAAATATTTCTTTTCAGTCTACTTTTAAACAAGCTGTTCCACAAACAGAAAGCGCAAAGCCTGCCTTCCCGTGGCCAGATCCCATCATATCCCTATGACATCCCCTGCAGCAAAAAGAAACCGCTTGCTGTGGGTAGTCTGGAAACGTGTGCTTGTTTCCTAGTGGACCAAAATGCACACTGCAACACAAAACACAGATACCATTTGGACTGGCTGGCAGGTACTGCCTTCGTTAATCATGCCTTTCTCCCTGTGAACAGAGTGAGGCATTGCCTAATCACCATAGTTTCCATAATTAAGAAACATACAGGTGCAAAGTTTCTTTCCAGCCTTTCACCCTTTTAAATGTGGTTGAGATTGTTGGGAGGAACAACACATGGACAAACAGATTGACATGTACTATCGCATGCTTCATTTCCCAAGGAAATCAAACTCAAATATTAGAGTGGATTAAAATCAACTCCAGCAATCTGGGGGGAACCTGCTTCTTTTTCATGATTTCCCTTTTAAATGGCTTTCATCCTCTGATAATCAACAGATTATTGTATGAAAGAAGGAACGTGCAAGAAAATAATCTTGCCCCATGAGATCTCATAGGAGTTTGTTGTGCCAGAAGTCAAAAATCTACAAACTGATCATCATCATTTAAGCACTGCTGCAGGAATCCCCACCAAGGTGTAGCACATGGACCCACTAGGCCTGCACTTTAATACCACACCAGCTCCACTGATCATTACCTCAATACCCAACAGCTATATCTGATTATACAGCTTTATATCCATCCGTGCTCTTTCACAATCTCCCCAGCATCATTCATGTCCCCATGCTATCAAACATGTATCCCAACATCCTACCTAGATACATTCACATACATGGCACCATCTCTCACCTCTCATACATACAATCCTTCAGGACACCACAACTTTACCACCTTCAGCATGATGCGGACATTCAAAGACTACTTTCCCTACAGACCTCCATATATGATCCCGTGATCTACACTTTTCAGCTGTATGGCTGCATCATACTTTGGATATGAACATCCCATGGCCTGTTGGGTCCAGTTCTCTTTGGAGTCTTTGAGCTAAACATAATAGCAACATTGAAATACGTAATAGTAATATCAAAATAAGATCTGCTCCAGACCATAAATTGCACAGGGATGAAACTTGGGCAAGACAATTCTGAACCCAGCATTGTTCTCATTTTGAAAGGACAACAGTAGTTAAAAAGTATGGAGAGAAGCTTCAAAGGAAGCAGCACTCTTTCAGATAACAGCATCTTATACTTCTCCAGAGAAGCCAATATAACTGAGAAGAGAAGCAGCCACTTCTTACGGTCTATTCAACATCATCCTAACCTTCAAAAACATTCAGGACTGGGGTTTGGCTCCCTTACTCATGCTGAGTCATACCAGCAGGGTTACTCAGGACATTAGGCTACTAAATATGAGCAGGAGTATCAGATTCTGTGGGCTGAAATTCTCTGGGATTGGTCTAGAGCCAAAGGTGAGTCTGCTTTTTGTGCGGCCAAATCTCCCAACTACCTACAGATTGAGAGAGCAATAACAGAAGCAAGAGCTACACTCAACTCTCCCTGAATACATATCCCTAGATATTAAAAAAGAAATCTTTTTAAAAATTGTTCTTTTTCCCTTTCTTTTTGAATTACTGCAGTTCTTTCACTTACCCCTGAATTCAAAAGTCAGATGAGCCATAGACATATTAGCTATTGAAGAGCATATCTATAACCCCATTTAGAGAGGGAAAAAAGAGGTTGGGTTCTGACAGCTCTGGTGATTGAAAGATGGCTACTTTTAATGCATAGTAAAAGTATTTCATTAAGGCTGAGTGGATGCATTTAGATGCACTGTACATGGATGCTTCTCCGTTTTTTAATAAATAAATGTGCTTTGTGCTATTAACTGTTTAAGCACTCACACTTTCATTTCTATTTCATCTTCACTTTTGTCCCTTTGTGCAATATCAATATTAACTTGATTGCGCAGCACACACATATATTTTTTTCAGTTTTCACACTGAACCTACCACAAAACAATTGTTAAGCAGGCAAGCTGAAGTTTATAGAGGAACTTACAACTTTTCCATTAGAGATTTTTTTTTCAAATTACTGTTATTTAACTGTGCAAATGTCATGTTGCATTAGCAAAAGGCTCAGTGTTATTTTTTATTTTATTTTATTAATTTAATACAAGTAGTATTGAAAACACAGTTGCCCATGCAAATTTTGCAGAGTTTACATAAGAGAATTAGCAGTCTTGAAATTTAAAGCTTGGTAAAGTGAACAGTAGACAAGAGCCATATATTACCCAGCAGTGTTCCCCCCCTCCTCCCCCGGATGTTTTAGTGTCCTGTCCTACATGTCTGTCTCTGACATACGTGTATTACTATTTATTTTGCGCATCGTATCTGTGGGTTTCACAGCATGTCTTTGGGACTAGTGCATCTATGATGAATAGCACATTTTATTGTGATTTAGAAGAATGTTGTGGCATGTGCTGCTTGTGATCTTGGGAAAGGGAGTGAAAGGAGATGTTCTCTCAGCAAGAAATAGTCATTTGTCATGTGGCTCTGTGTAACCCACCACTGTCCAAGGTCAAGGACTGCACAGTGTCCAGAAACGTGAATTCTTATAGAGGGGATGTACGGTACATCAGGACCATGATAAATAGTCTCACATCTGATTAGGCTCCTTTATGTAGGCTAAGAAAACAGTATTCATGCTTCCCATTCACCTACAGTCTGATATTCAGGAAGAGACAACTCTGCTCAAACCCTAATTCCCACCCTACTTTCCTTGCTGCCACTTCGTATTCCTCATCTATATTCTCTCCTTCCCAATTCTCAGTTTCTCTTTGCATCCCCCTGCTTCCCATCCCATTCCACCTCTCTTTCTTTTTACTGTCTTTCCATGAAATCCATCAAAGAAGCAAGAACATCTTTCTGAGGCTTCTTAAAGGAAAGATTTTCTACCAGATCTTCTACCAAACTCAAAGGAGTCTCTCCAAACAAATAAATGCCAGGCCCAGAATCTGAGAAGGGTAGTATTTGGTTATATAGCAATTCCATAAAGTAAAAATCCACAGAAATAGCCAGCTAGAGAGATAGCAGCAACACTCAAGGGTTGGCTGAAGAAGGGAAAAGATTAAAAGAATCCTTATTTAGTTTCAACAACTATGTGATGACACAACACAGACGGAACTAAGAACCCTTGGAGACAAATGCATTACGTGAACTAGTGCAGCAAGAAACGCAGAGAGGGTTTCTTCAGCATTAGGCATACCATACCCACATCCTCTACAAGTTGGAGCACGTAAAGGGTACTTCACAAAAAGCATTTGGCAGCTGTGTACACACACATTGACATTGTCACATAATTAGATATAAAACAAATGCAACAGCAGACACTATCAGCATGTCTACTGTGCTGCATCCATGGAACCAATTTCTTCTTCAATGGAAGCCTCATCCAAGCTATTCTGAGAAAGCCTAAAACACAGGGACACAGAAACCAGCCCCCGGGGCACACGTGCACACAAGAAGTTCTACAGAG